TGGCCGGATTCCATTGGCTTGTTTGAACGAGCGTGCCTTTTTCTTTTTATTTTCCATTAACACTTGTTTTCTTATATTATATTTAGTTTATATTATATTAACAACAAGAAGCAAGTGGCGTAGTGGCAAGCGTGGCATGAAATTCCCCTCAGGACCTGGGTTCGAATCCCAGGTCCCCCTATTTTCTCTATAATATTTGTTTTCAGGTAATCATATGCACGCCTAAGCTGGAGATCCACCATGCACCTTCCTCATCAACACGCCAGATGGCCAGATCTGGTGGGTGGCCATCATTGAAGGCACACCCTAGGCCAAGTCAATGCACGTGTATGGGATCACAAAAGTCAAACAGACCTCTCCTCAATTGGGCCAGAATAATTGCTATTCATACACCCTAAATCAGGCCCATCTCACTCCTTTTTTATATTTTGTTTATTTTATTTAATTGTTTTATTTTATTTAATTTAATTACTAACCAATAAACAATTTTCTTTTTTATCAAAAAAATCACAAAAAATATTTTTACCCAATTAAATTTCAAAAATTTATTTTTAATCAATAAATCAATTAAAATAATTAGGTTGATTAATTAGGTAACTTTAATTTATTTTGCAAATAATTAAAAATCAATTAGAATAATTAGGTTTTAACATTAATTTAATTATTTTATTTTCTTTCCTAAAATAACAAAAACTCCAAAAATATGTCATTCAATATTTTTCATTAATTAATTTATTTAATAATTAATTTAGCATTTAATTTTAGGATTTAATTTCTTTTCTTAAAAATAAAAACAACAAAAACATTTTCTTTTAATTAAGAGGGTCGAAACCCTAATTTCACATTCGGTTCAAGTTTCTCGCGCGTTTTATATTTCCTTTATTCAATTATTGTATCTGCTCCCGGTTTGTAACAATTAATTAGGACATTTAATTTTCCGCTTTTAAATTTCAAAGGGTTGCTTTTGGCGATGTAAATACCCGACGCCTTGTAATAGTTTAGTTTAAATTCCGTATCCTTAATTTCTACAAATATACAACTGCTAGATGTTTGATAATATGGTTTGCATGACAAGAATGAATGTCTAATTTTAAAACGGTTAGATCTCCTCAAACATGTACAAAGATAAAAATAACTGAAATCAATACACTCGCACATGCGCACTCCTAGGGTACACCCCACTTGGTTGCCTTCGTAAATGGTCATTGAGCATATGTTATTTTAGAGGTCTCCCTCTTGTCTAAAAGATCATAAGTTGCCTCGGATATTATTGCCTCGAACAAATGATCTAAGACATTAGGATTACCACTAAGACGTCCTAACATTGATTTAGTGACCGTATGTCCCTTTCGAATTGACCCTCAAACTCCAACGACGGTGCTACCTACTCTCTAATAGTGAGATAACATTGTCTAAAGGAAATAAGCATAGAACGATTCTTTTTTCGAGTAGGTGGATTAGTTCTTAGATACTTGCTCATCCAAAACAAAACTTTTTTCACACTTACACTCTTTTACAAACAAGTTTTCAAAAACACTCCATTACACTCTTGAAGACAGACGCAAGAGTTAAATCAAAGTTAAAACAAAAACTTTTCAAAACCCACAAACACAAAGAAAACAATTTTTAAAATGATGAGCAAGTACCTAAGAGCCCATAGATAACTACGGATAGAAAGGATGCTAATACCTTCCCTTTCTATAATCTACCCCCCCCGTACTCAGAAATATCTCAAAAAAGGAATTTTTCTGTGCTTTTTTTCCTTTCCTTGTTGGATAAAATAAAAGTCGGTGGCGACTCTTGTTTACCGCGACATTTTGCAAAAACAAACGCAAAACGCAAACCAGCATTCTAAAAAAATAGTCAGTTCTCCCACCGTATCACACCAAGGTTGTTATGAAAGGGGTCGATAAAGATATGGCGAGATACCTCAATGACTTTCAGTTTGGGGTTTGGGTATAGGGTGGTGCTGAGGCCATTTTGCATAGTGCTAATAGGGTGTTAAGAAAGCGACATTGTGATGGTTCCTTGGCTATGCTCACTGTAGATTTCTCGAATACTTTCAACATGGTAGATCGATCAGCCTTATTACATGAGGTGAGGGTGAAATGCACATCTATTTCTTTTTGGGTTGAGTTTCTTTATGGCCAAGCAACAAGGTTTGAGGATGGACATATTACGTCAGCCACCGGAGTGTAACAAGGTGATCCGTTAGGGTCGTTCCTTTTTTCTCTTGTGTTACACCCACTCATTCATCGTGTTAGAGACAATTGTAAGCTTCTTCTTCATGTCTGATATCTTGATTATGGGACTATTATAGGGGAATTCACAGGAGGTGGCTAAAGCCCTTGATATCATTCAAGAGACAGGTTCATGATTAGGTCTTGAATTGAATATTCATAAGACTGAGATCTTTTGGCTTTCATGTGATGGTAGTAAACTTAGTGAGGATATGTTCCCGTTAGAAATTGGGAGGCCGTTGTTAGGGATGAAGTTTCTTGGAAGGGCTGTTAGTCGGGGTGACAGTTTCATTAAGGAGTTGTCCAAGAAGAGAGTTTCCAAGGCTATTGATTTAATGTACCTTCTACCACAACTAAGGGATCCTCGAAGTGAACTTCTTCTACTTTGATCCTGCATGGGTATTTTAAAGTTGCTTTTTGGTCTAAGAACGTGTCAACCTACTTATATAGAGGAAGCAACTGTTTGGTTTGATAAAGAGTTATGAAAGGAGGTTGAAGACACCGTGGTTGGTGGAGGTCCTTTCTTCGGGGATCTTCAATAGAGAATGACTTCATTACCCATTAGAGTTGGGCGTTTGGGTTTGTACTCGGCTGTAGAGGCTTCCTCATACGCCTTTCTAGCTTCTAGGGTCCAATCTTGGGTGTTGCAGGATCATATATTGAGACACATTGGGGTGTATGGTATGGACTCGAATTTCGACAGAGCTTTGGATGGTCTTAGTGTTGCGATTCCGGATTTTGACCTTAGCAATTTTACTATTAAGGACATCGTTCCTCCTAAAACACAACATCTTTTGGCGAGTGCCATTTTTAGTAAAATTGTTAAGGACGTGGATGTGAAGTTTCACATGACTACAAGACAGAAGCAATTTTTGATTGTTTGTAAGCCGCACATGCTCGAGACTTTCTCCTTGCTATTCTTATTGATGGGCTAGGCCGACATATGTCTCCGGTGGAGTATTGTATTATCCTAAGATACATTCTTATTTATTTCTTATTGATGAGGTTTGTCTTGTTTGTCGTAAGGCATATTTGGATACATTTGGGAAACACACGATTCATTGTCGGAAGCTTCCAGGCTTTAAATATCAACATGACCTTGTTAGGGATGTCTTGTTTGATATATTCCGACGTGCCAGAGTATCTGTGAAGAAAGAGACGTTTGTGAATTTTTCGACTGACCCACTTGAGGGAAGATAGACACTTAGGCTAGTAAATGTTTTGGTGTATAGGTGGGTAGGAGAGAAATATGTTTGTGTGGACTTGACGAGAGTTTCTCAACTGGTGGGTTTGAGGGATTGTGGTTTTAATGTGGGGACAAGAAGCTCTCAAAGCTGCTTCTAGTAAAGTGGTCAAACATGAGAGAGCGTGTTCTGAAAATCAACATGTTTTTATACCATTTGTCTTTGACACTTTTGATTTCCTAGCACCAGAAACAGTTGATCTTTTACAGAGAATTTAAATACTTATAAATAGAAATGTTGTATCTCCTAAATCTATAAATATAATTTTTAAGAGAATTAATTTTGTGATTAAAAAAAATAGCGGCACAACTTATTATCCGCTTGCCTTTTATTTTTATATTGACCTAATTTATCAAAATTGAAAAAAAAATTAATTAAAAAATTGTGTAAAATTGGGTCGTATAGAAATGTTTAGCAATAACAAATCTCATGTCTCATGGGTCATTTTCACATGTAAGTGCCTAGTAATCTAAACAGTAAAAGCGGGATTTGAACCTACCTAAATAAGTAAGCTTTTGGTTGATTGAAATTGTAAGATTATTATGGCACTGAATATGGCATGTGCAGTAGTCAACTTGATCTTAATCTTAGTTCTTAGAGGATATAACTTAGTTAGATTCAATTAACCAACCATGAGACACAATTGTGGAATATCGAGTCAAAAGAATCTTTGCTAGGGATAATGTTTGGCTCACAAGTCAAACCCATAAGCACATTTTGTAGCAACAGATTGCTGCATGCGACATCTATATTTCTACGTGCTTGTTAGTGCTTTCTTTCATCGAGACAAATGATAGCCTTAAAAGCTCCATTACTTGATGTATGTTAATTTCAACAAACAATTGGAGAATTTCTTATCTACAGCCATGTTTTCCGGATTTCAATCATTATTAAGGGGTAACTGGTGGAGCTTATATAATCTTTTTTGTAAGAATATGTTTTATTGTTATATTCATTATTCATTATAATTAATAAAATAGGAAGTGTAAAAATGAATTGAAAAGGCGAGAATAACATGCATATGATCACTTCGTGCTCTAACTCTACAATTGTATTCTTTCTTATATCTCTGATTAATTGGGCCTAAGCCTAAGATCTTTATTTTAAGTGCTTCCAGGTTCCAACTTTCTTTTACAAATAAATACCTTTATTATATTATCTAAAATATGAAGATAATAAGAGAAAATCTAGGATGATATCTATAAGTAGCCAATAACAAGTAGCTAAAATATTCACTTAACCATTATAGAAAGTTGGTGAAATGGTATACCTAATCTTAATGTTGCTATTAGAACAAGTTACTCTTGAATCACAATAATTAATCTTAGATATAATTTAAAGGTAACTCCATATATAACTTTCTTTATGCTCTTTTACGTTAAACAAAACTTCTACTTCAAATCACCAATTAATAAACCTATATAAACCACATTCTATGTTAGCAATTCATCCACTGCAAAAAAATCAAAATTATTCATATTATTACTATCCCCACCCCACCCCTACAATAACAACAATGTTGTCTATCTTTCGACAATACACATTCGATGACTCATTCGAACAAAGCTTCATATCTAACAAATTCTTAAAAGAATACCAAATTGCCCTCACATATGCCACAGATTACGACGAAAACAACATACCCACAAATGGAATTTTCTCACCAAATTGGAACACATCAAAAGTCACACCCGAAACAATAATCGATCTAAAAAACAAAAACTCCGAAGTCAACATTAAAGTCTATATTAGTATTGGTAACAGTGGCACAAATTTCCCATTTTATCCTCAAAACAACAAAACATGGATTCTCAATGCAACAGAATCTCTCACAAACATCATTAAAAACTACAAAGATTGCAATCTCCAAATCGATGGGATTGATGTTTTGTACGAATGTATCAAAACATCACCCGTTGACTTTGTTGAATGCATTGGTCAACTTATAAAGAATTTAAAGGAAAACCGTGTTATAAAAGAAGCTTCTATTTCTCCTTCTTTTGCTCTGAACAAAGAATATTATTTTTTATTGTATAAATCTTATTCTTCTCTCATTGATTGGGTTGATTATCAGTTTCAAAACGAGGTTGTTCCTGTTTTTGCACCCAATAAATTGATGGAGGTTTATGATGATTTGGTAATGGAGTTTTATCCGAGGAAGAAACTATTTGCTGGATATAGTGCTGAGAATGAGGATTGGGCTACGTTGTCACCTATTGTGTTTTTTCTTGGTGGAATGAATATTCTTAAGAAGAGAAAAGGTCCTGGGATTTCAATTCATTATCATAATTACTATCAACTAAACTCAAATAATGAGTGATATGTATGTATATTTTAATTATATTGTGTTGCAATGCATGCTTGATGCTAAATCAATATGTACTAAGAAATAAGACCCATGCATGGATGGTGATAAAATATTCTAGCTAACTTTTAATGTAATATATATTTTAGTATGTAAAAATCATATATGTTTCAACATAATTTGGATGATTAATAATTCATATGCATATTTAAATACCTAAAAATTGTAGTTAAATTCGTCAAAATTATTCGTTAGTTAATTGTGTTAAGGGACTTTTTTATTTGTAATATTCATCAATTATTTAGTAAAAATGATTAAGTATATTTGATGACCATCAATATGATCATCCAATATAATTAATTATTTTTATTTAATAAATGAAAGACCTTTTAGATTGATGGTGAAATCTTGTTTGATAAGAGATAAGATGTTACACAGAATATTAAAATAATGTGTATGATAAAATAGTCTGAATTAATCGATCACCAATTAAACAGAGCAATTAATAAAAGATAAAAAGAATTGTTAATTCATTTTGATGTAATTTTCACATATGTTTGGATGTCAATAGTTTATTGAAAAGAAATTTCATTACTAAAAGTAGTCAATAGTATATGGTGATCTTATTTGAACATATCTCAGATAATTCATTTTCCTATTACTATCTGTTCTAGGCCGACCATATCCTCCTCAGACTGACCATCCTGAGATAGGCCGTTGACGGGCCATAACCCATCAACTGACTACATTGTCATGTTTTTAAAATCTTCTCCTTACCACAAAACTATTTTGTATTTGGCTACAAGAGATCTACGCCCCAGGCACATCCAACGGTCCTCCGCATTTCACGCCTGAAAGATAGCGAGATTGTTATTCTTCCCCTCTATATATAGAGAATAACGTCATTTCAAGTAACAAGTTTCAACATAATTTAAATACTCTTTATTCTTTCACATGTTGACTTAGGCGTCGGAGTGCTAACCATGAAGGTGTACCCCCGCTCTGCCGTATATTAAACTTTACTCTGCCACAACTTTCTCTATTTTAGATTCCCTAATGAAAGAGTGACACCGTATGTGGGAATGACTTCTGGTTCCTACGTTTTCTATGACTCTCCATCTCTGCATTCAGTTTTCTAGTGTGAAGTTATCTTCAACCATCTGAATGAAGATTCAACAAATCGAACACAAAACTCAATCGTGTTCAATTTAATTGAATTCAACACCAATAAGGACTTGTTGATTCCTTAGATACTCGATTCTCCATACTTTCAAATTCTTTGATCCTTGGAAATGGCTAGATTTAGAGCTACTTGTTTCACCACCAAGCGTGAAGCCACTCTAGCTGCTGCTGACACAACACCGACAACCGTCAGTCGACCAAACACCATTCATCCTTCTAGAAAAATGAACTTCACCATTGATGTTCCTCCGCATCAAAATTTAATACTTCCTCCTCCAAGAGTAAGAATTGTCCAGGAACCGCTGGTTGGAGTTCCAATTTTTCTTCATGTTGAACGAACTGATCAACGGTATCTACAACATTGTTCAGCAAAAAAACTTCAAAGCAATGGCGGAAAATTTCCTTCATTTAGAGGAAAGCCTTCATCACACTTAACCCCGAGTGAATTCAGTTCAAGAGATCGTCTCTTGGAAAGATCGCTCCAACAGGCCAGAGTCATCCACGACAAAGGAAAGTAAAGTCTAGAAGTCAAAAGAACTTTCCAAAGGAGGAAAATACGAATCCCCTTCCCAGAGTCCGATCGGAGACCTAGAAAGTCATGCTTTTATCACGGATCGCGGCGAACACCATCCGATCAAAGTGCAACCTAAGCATCCCTTATACAGTTGGATCTTAGAAAGCATAATCCCTAAGTCAATGCAAAAGCCTCCCAAATTGGGTGTGTGATACGGTGGTCAGAACCGAGACTATTTTTTAGGAATGCTGGTTTACGTTTTGCGTTTGTGTTCGTAAAATGTCGCGGTAAGCAAGAGTCGCCACCGACTTTTATTTTATCCAACAAGGAAAGGAAAAAAGCACAGAAAAATTCCTTTTTCGAGATATTTCTGAGTACGGTGGGTAGATTATAGAAAGGGAAGGTATTAGCACCCTTTCTATTCGTAGTTATCTACGGGCTCTTAGGTACTTGCTCATCATTTTCAAAATTGCTTCTTTGTGTTTGTGTGATTTGAAAATTTTTGTTTTGACTTTGATTTAACTCTTGCTTCTGTCTTCAAGAGGGTAATGAAGTATTTTTGAAAACTTTGTTTGTAAAGGAGTGTAAGTGTGAAAAAGTTTGTTTGGATTGAGCATGTACTTAAGAACTAATTTACCTACTCGAAAAAAGAATCGTTCTATGTTTGTTTCCTTTAGACAGTGTTATCCCACTATTAGTGAGTAGGTAGCACTGCCGTTGTAGTTTTAGGGTCAACTCGAAAGGGACGTATGGTCACTAAAGCAATGTTAGGACGTCTTAGTAATAACCCTAATGTCTTAGATCAATTATCTGAGGCAACAATATCTGAGGCAACCTTTCCGAGGCAACTTTGATCTTTGGACAAAAGGATGACCACTAAAGCACCCTATACTCAATGACTGTTTAACGAAGGCAACCAAGTGGGAGTGTACCCTAGGAGTGCGCATGTGCGAGTGATTCAATTTCAGATTATTATTTTTGCACATTTTAGGGTTATCTAACCGTTTTAAAGTTTTACATACATTCTTGTCATGCAACCTTATATCATACATCTAACAGTTAATATTTTGCAGAAATTAAACTACGCTATTACAAGGCTTCGGGTATTTACATAGCCAAAAACAAACCCTTGAAAAATAAAGCGGTAAATGAAAATAAAAGTCCTAATTTAAACTATTACAACTTGTGAGCAGTTACAATAATAGGGTAAAAATAATAATAAAGCGCGCGCGAGGAAAATTAGATCGGGAGAGAACTAGGGTTTTGACCCTTCAAACCTAATTAAAGAAAAATGGTTTTTGTTGTTTTTAATATTTTTTTTAAGAAAAAGGAATTAAGTTTCAAAATTAAATACACAATTAATTAGTAATTAAATCAATTAATGAAAATAAATAAATGGCCTATTTTTGTGTTTTGTTATTTTAAGGAAATATGAAAATATAATTAAGTTAGAAATAAAAACCTATTTGTTCTAATTAATTTTAATTATTTACAAAAGGAATTAAAGTTAACTAATATTAACAACCTAATTTAATTAATTTAATTTTTGATTAAAAAAATAAAGTCTAAACCTAATTTGGTGAAAAATATTTTTTGTGATTTTTTTTTATAAAAAGAAAATAGTTAATTGGTTATTAAATAAAATAAATAAATTAATTAAGTAAAATATAAAAAGAAAAGGAATAAGAAATTGGGCCTGCAATCAGTAGTTTGAGGGGGTGTGAGAAGCAATTTTTCTGGCCCAAGACCAAAGGTGTCCACGTTGACCCTCAGAATCGGATGTTGCACGTTACTTGTAGCTTATGGTGCTCCTCCATTGATGGCCTTTGGATCTGGCCATCTGGCCACTCGGCAGGCTGAATGATGAGGTCCCATGATGGACCTTGGTCTTTGGTGCGCGTTGGATCCTGAAAAGACAAAATAAATGAAAGAAATGGGGGACCTGGGATTCGAACCCAGGTCCTGAAGCACTTTCAACCTGCACCAATTCCATCTGAGCTACGTGCGTTTCTGGTATATAAAACCAATAACAATTATTATATTATAAATAAGCGTAATATAGAAAAACTCGCACGAAAATCCAAATGATCCAATGGGAAGGTGCCAGCTAATCATCTTCTTCCCTTCTCCGTTGGTAAAAGTGAAACACTTTTACCTACAGACGTTTGTCCGTCACTACAAATAGAGCTCGTTCCAAAATCCTCTATGAGCAATATAAATGACATATAATGCCATGGATCAAACTGTCTTGTCATCCTGAACATGATGGTACCCTTCATGAAGACTAATTTTTCCTGCATACAAAAACCCTAAAACGGAACCAAAAAACCTAACAATGGCAATTCTCGATTCAGTCTATGAAAACGCAATTGAGTATTATAGAAAGCTTGCAAATGTAATGGTGAACAAGAATCTATGATTACATTACGTTATACGTGCCAGAATTATGCAAACATAATTCAAGAAAAGGTAGGTATCGTGAATGCCTTACAGCGAGTTTCAGGGCTTGGGAACGCTTGTTCTTGATTGCTTTCGCTTGCTTACACTCCCAGGAAGTGACTGGGACAACTAGAAGGCCTTGAGGATGCCTTGAAGTATCAATTCGCGTTTGAACTTTTTTGGTATTTTTTTAAGTTTGGTTCTGGTTCATACGCCTCCTTCTAGCCTTTCTTTTGGTCTGCATTCCTTCTATATGTATTGAAGAATGAATTAGGGTTGAAAGAATGTGCTCAATCTTCCTTCATCATTGCATTTGATTTTGATTTGATACACTTGAATATCTTTCCAAAAATAGTCCAAATCCAATATTTTTGTGCATTCCATGCCTTTACACGAATTTGATCTCATGCTAGCTGGAATTTAAGACCTGAAACATGTAAGAAATCTTGAGTTTTCAATATTTTGGATTTTCTATGATTTGTTTTGATTTAATTCAAATCAAAATCAAAATAAATAATAAAAACAAGATAATGACAAGTGGAAAAGGCTAGGGCTCGTGGACCATGTTGCCAACTCAAAACAAGTGAAAAAGATTGGGGCCATTTGACAAAAATTGCATTTTTAGGCATAGTTGACTTTTGGCAATTTTGCAAAAAGGGTCAACTTCACCAATGCATAACTTCCTCAATTTTGACTCTTTGGAGGTGTTCTTTGACTTTTTAGAAAGCTTGAGATGTCCTCTAAGCAACCCTTTTGGTCTCATCTCAATTTTATATTCCATGCTCATGTATGAAGCTTTGACAAAAAATGTGTTTTTGTTGACTTTTCAAAATGACCTATAATGTCCAAATTTATAACTTCTTATGAGTGCATATTTGAA